CCGAAACTTTTTATTTGCTTTTTTTTTCATTTCTTTTTTTTTTTTTTTGGTTGATCCTTGTTTTAGGGTTTTTTCTGACTGAAGTGGTTTTGGACTGCATCTTCTAGTTATACTCGAAACTAGATAAAGTTTGAGCTTTTTTGAAGATTAAATGGATTCAATGTGGCCTAAGTAATTTTGAATTGTTGCCATCTCATACTTTAGAGTTCATGTCTTTATTTGATCGTTTCCCTTGAGTTTTTAGTCGAGTTTTCTTGGTCTTTGGTTCATAATTTTTTTTTATCTAATATTACTCTTTTTGTTTTATTTGGATCAAGATGTGCTAGATTCTTTTCTTATTAGGTGTTTAGATTTTTGAGTTGAGTTATATATTTATTTCTTGCTCCGTCTTATATATCTTTTGAGGTGAGACCCACCAAAATACATCATAACCTTAAATCACCTGATTTACCTTGCATGCGGTGTCCGTAAGTATGGAATAATTTTTCCAAGACACGAGACCTTCCAAGGAAAGATCGCAGTCGCAAATTAACAGCAGTTACAGTTTGCCATTCAAAAACTACATGAAAGGATTAAACGTTCACAACCAAAATTCAGACTAATAAATCGCTTTCGTTCAAAATTATATTATTTTAATAACACTATTACTTAACTAATAACATCATTAAATTAATTAATATTCTTTAACATGTGCTAAAATTGTTTTAATAATACATTACTTAAAACAACAATATTAATTACAATAATAAATAATCAGATTTCTCTTCTTAAACCATATTTTAAATACATTATTTAGCAGCAATTTAAATCACAATCCCAAACCAGCACATTTATATTTTGAATACAAACCATTCATTCCTGTTCAGTTCATCCACTCAACAAACAAGCCAAACATAGTTGTTCATGACCAAAGAGCCGCTTTAACAAACTAAAAGTCATACTGTCAACGTGCCACCATCAAACTTTTAATATATGGGTTGGGATTTTACCATTAATTTTGATATTTGAATGAGAATTTGCCAAATGAATGAAAGAAGGTGATTGATTTGTAAATAGGAAGTTTACGGTGATATGCAAGTTTTTTATCCTTTTTACAATTAGACCACAAAAATCCTCCCACTAAAACATAAAAACAAGTATTTCAGCTTTTAAATGGTGCCGCACTTTTTTAGGTAAAATGGTATATATGTAAATATTGAAGTTGTAGGGTTGGATAGGTGATGGGTGTAGTTCATGAAAGAGCCTTCAGGCCGGCAGGAGGAAAGTTTGCTTCCCTCTCTGAAAATGAATGAAAGAAGGGTTGAAGTTTAGACCGCTTCAGTAGTTCTACTGATAGAAAAGATCATGAAAGTGGCGATCAGAGCCCAAGTTCCGAAAACCAAATGATTCATAAAATTATGATGTTATATAAATAAAAATACAAATTTAGATATTAGATATTTAAATAAATTTTCCAAAATTCCCAAATCCAAAGCATGATAAATATACCAAAAAAAAAAGGCATAAATTGATATGAAGTACTAATGCGTTTAGGGTTGTCAAGAACCAAGCAAGACTAACATAAAAACTACTGCTTCGGAATAACAAGACAAACGAACTCACATAAACAGATAAACGCTGACGGCCCAAAAATCGAAACAAAAACAAAATGCATCCATCGATCCCTTACTTGGCAGCAGCTCCATGCTTGGCTTTGGTGTGAGATTGCAGAGCATTTTCACTTGTGAATGTCCTGTAAATGCATCGTAAATGAAATAAAATGAATACATATAGCTTAAGATTCGATAAACCGGTTGAAAATTCATACAGGAGGTATTTGGTGGCATGCTATTAACAGTATTTTATCATGTATTTAACTTAAATCCAGCCAACTATTTAAAAAAAATTAAATCCAACACTCAGTTAAATTGAAGTTTCCAGTCTTTTTCCTCATGTTCAGTCTCTTTTATGATATTGAAATTTTCCGTCTTTTTCCTCATCTTCAGTCTCTTTTACGATATAAATCTGGATTTAGTAAATCCGATTGTGAGGAAGACTTATTCTGTCATCGCTGGGGTGCTCTTAAGCAGCACAATGATTTTCATAAAACCGCATTTATCGGATTTGATAGATTCTATTCAACATAAATATGAGTTGAAGCCAAAAACAGCCTTAGTTTCACATTATAATATGCCCCTTAATTTATTATTCTTTGGACTTCACAAAGATCTTTCCAAAGTTGATATTTTCTAATTTACATTTTAAAAATTATATCCTTTTATATTTCTAAAAAAAGGCAATTACATACAGAGCATTCAAAACATTATTATTTACACTATCTAGCAAGATCTTTCATTCAATTTTCAAATTCTCACTCAAATATCAAAATTCATCACCCATCAATTTCATTTTTATAAAAATCTCAATGGATTGAACATATTCACGCATAAACACATTAGTTCGATGGTTTCAAAAAATCACATGGATGTTAGTTCTGTAAATGTCAAAATTTTGAGTGCTATGTATGCAATTATCCCTTCTAAAAAAACAATATACAGCTTTAATCTGAATTTTCCAGTGCTTGGCCTCCCTTAAAATGTAATTAAGAAGAAATTTAAGCTCACAATTGAATAATCTCAATCTAATTCTTCATATGCTAAGGAAAAATATCTCTGCAATAGAATTACCTGCTGCAGGATTTGCAAGCTACATTTCCAACAGATTTTGGAGTCTGTTGAGGCTTTCCACCTTGCTTAGCCGGATGAGGGGTTGCAATGTGAGTGCTTTTCTTTCCATCACCACCTGCAACAATGTCTTGGTAATCAATCACCAATCATAGAAATATTTGCATATCTAATAAATTAATCTTCATATTCTAATATTTAAAATTTAAAAAAACATTTTTTAAGGTTAGTGTATTATATTAATAAATATAAGGGGTATTATTTACATACAAAGAACACAATCATGTATATTTACATAGCTCACACCTACTTCCACATTTCAATACGTAGTTCTCAAATCTTTAATATCACATCAAAAATAGCCTCATTACCCACATTATAAAAGTGAAATACACATTTCATGCATAGTTACATCACCATAGTACTGCGTGTAAATATAAGTGTGTGAGATATGCAACTACATTAGAACTGTGTGCTGGGTATGTAAATTTCCATAAAAATATAAATGGTTAAGTGTTAGATATGTAAAAATATATAAATTCAGTGGTATGCATGTAAATCCACAATAAAATTTTAGAAATATCTCAAACATGATTCTAATTGAACACAAGAAACCAGGATGACAAGAGAACCTGTTTTCTGGTTCCCAGCTGGAGTAACGAGTTTAGCCTTTTTTTCAGGATTAGGTGTTTTTGAAGCAGAATCTGCTTTTCTTTTAATGGAGTTTTCGACCTTCAGAATCAGTGAAACAATTTGTTGCGGTTATTTAAAAGAAAGAAAATAAAAATCAAACTGGAAATATTCAGCCTTACAATACCGATTACCTTCTTAGGGGTACCCTCTTCCTCGGAACTCTCATCGTCATCTTCTTCACTGGAATTGTCGTCACCGGGTGCCTCAATCATGTCCTGCAAATAAATATCTACCCCATGACCAGTTTGTTCTTTACTTACAGTCATTAAGTAAACAAACCCCACAAAGTGTCAAATTGCAATAACCACAATTATCAAATTTATCATAATCTAATGAGCAGAATGGACCACGGCCAATTAAAACCTGAAATACTACTAAAAAGGGGGCATTTACATAGATAGCACACAATTCTTATGTATTTACATAACTAACACCTAAACATTCATATTTATACACATACCACTCAAATCTTTAACATCACATCAAAAATACCACAATCACTGCTCGTTAAAAGTGAAATACATTACATCAGGTCTATGATACAAAAGTGTGTGTTAGATATGTAAATACATAAGAACTAGGTGGTTATCATAATCTAATGAGCAGAATGGACCACGGCCAATTAAAACCTGAAATACTACTAAAAAGGGGGCATTTACATAGATAGCACGCAATTCTTATGTATTTACATAACTAACACCTAAACATTCATATTTATACACATACCACTCAAATCTTTAACATCACATCAAAAATACCACAATCACTGCTCTTTAAAAGTGAAATACATTACATCATGCATAGGTCTATGATACAAAAGAGTGTTAGATATGTAAATACATAAGAACTAGGTGGTGTGTATGTAAATTTCCAAAAAAAAGGGCTTCACAAGCATGTAAAATGTGATAAAAAATGAGAAGAAAAGAAGAAAAAAATTAAAGCAAACCTCATCGTCATCAGATTCTTCCTCAAAAGAATCATCATCGGCATCATCGTCGCCATCTTCATCATTACTAACATCCTCATCTTTTTCTTCGACCTTTTTATTTTTATTGTCTTTAATGGGCTCTTTAATCTCCACCTTAGCCTTTAATTTAGCAGACGCATTATCAGCCTTTCCAGAAGCTTCTTTTTCTGCTGGCGCCTTGGCTGCCACAATCTTAGGAGGATTGCTTAAAACTTGAAAAGAAGAAGAAAATGAATTATAAGTACAACATTTACTAAAAAAATTGCCAACAAAATTAAAAAAAAAATTAATGACCTCGGCAGAAAGATATTGGAAAATTTACATAAGTAGCACATAATTCTTATGTTTTTACATATCTCGCACCTAACTTTTATATTTACATACATAGCACTTAGGTGCTTTAAACCTATACATGAAAATGTGCATTCATTAAATATATGCATGAAAAGCTGTCTAAAGTGGTGGTAATAGACTAATAGTGCTCTTTTTTTTATGTGATATTATAGATTTCTGTCCTTTTCCTGTAAAAATAAAATTTAAGTGTAAACTATGTAAATGCATGAGAATTGTGTGCCATGTAAATGCCCCAAACATATTTTATCATTTGATCTTTAAGAGAAAAGTGGGAAAATTCATAAAGACTTTTCAATCCATTATAGGTACATATTAAACAACTATCAAAAGGCAGAGCAGATAGCTAAACGGAACAGTAATTTGCATTAAAAGAAAGAATTTGTAGGAAAGGTCACATGAATTTTAAATCTCTATAGTCGATGGCACGACTTAAAAAAGAACAATTTTTTATGAAAAAAAAATAAGCATAATAAGAAACATTTAACAGTAGCATATTACATATAAACCAAAAAAAAGCTAAGACGCTAATAATGACTGCAGGATGAACCATTAATAGTATGTAACATCCAAAAGCAGCAAACGACACTGCAGGAAGCAGGAAGCAGGCAAGTTTGGAATATATTTAAATAATTATTTACATTATAATTAAATCAAAATGCCGAAATAGCCAGCTCTATCCTTATGTCATTTAACAAGAAAGGGAGAGGGAAAAATAAGGCAGAAACATGGGAGAAATTTACCAAATAAATTCATTACAATAATTAAGGAATTTAAACAGGGAAATACAACAAAAGATTAGATCTAATTTATTCCTAAACAAACACAACAGAAGAGAAAATCCTATCAATAATAATAAGCTAGAGAAGTTCAAACTAAAAAAATAATAAAGTCAGGAGTTATCTTAAATCTTAATACTGTTAAATATTAAAATAAAAGCAAATTTATCCAGATAAAGTTCAATGATATGTTTCCTTCGTTACTTTAATTTGGATGGGGTGTTTATGTGGGGAAAACATATTGTTAAAATTTCAAATAGCACAAACCCCATTTCTTCATGATCAGATATCCAAATCATAACAAATGACATATAGTGGCACCAGATTTTATGAACCAAAATGACTGAAATGAGGTTCCATCAAATAATGATCTTGATGATTGCCCTGATCGCTTGATATATATCTCCAAGTGATCAAACAGTTCTCACAAATATTAAGGCAGTGATAAAGCATATGGAAATTAGAAGGATAATAAAATCACATATCTAACCACTGTTAGAATTTTAGGATCACCAATATATCTCACCAATCAAAATCACATAATAAATAAAAAATGGTATTCAGAAGCCATATTTTGATTACGGGCAACAATTCAAATGTCTCAACATTTTAAAATCATAATTATCTTAGCATTCACTACTCATAGTCGAGATTTTGATGCATCAAATTAATGAACAGCACGGCTTAAACATTATTGAATTGTGTGTTTTGCAACCAAATAAAAGAAAATAGAAAGCCTTGCTTCCTAATTCCTAACAAGTATAGTCTTTTAGAAGCGATTTCCTCAAATTTTACTCTAAAAAAAACAAAATGCCACTTCCTCTAACTTAGGAAAATAAAATAAATACTTGAAGCACAAATAACACATTTTATTTTGATTATGTGAGTCTTGTCGATGAATGGTGGTCTTGCTGCAATAAAAATTAAAACTTGCACTATTTTGTATTATTGAGAAGTATGATAAAACACACACCATGTTCCACCCAAATAACAGACAAAGGGAACCCCTGTTTCCTAGTTTTTTCATGAACATGTAAAGGTTGAGGTGATTTCCTCAACTTTCTCTTCCAACAAATGAAAATACCACTTCCCGTAATTTAGGGAAACCATATAAATACTTGAAGCATAAGTAACATGGGTTATTTTGATTATTTGAAGCTTGATGGGTGTGCTTCATTGCACTGTAAGTAGCAACTCGCACTATTTTTCAGTATTGACAAGTATGGTGACACACACAACACAAAACAAAATCAAATTAGAACATATTATTGCTACAAAACACAAAAAAAAAAACACAAATTGCACATACGGTTTGCTTTCTTTGCAACCGGAAGATCCTCTTCAGAGTCAGAAGCTAGATTTTAAAAAAAGTAGGAGTTAATGACAAGCTCAAATAAATAAACTCCGAGAACAGTAGAAAATAAGATAAAAGCAAAACAATATCATACCTGAGAAATCATCTTCAGAAGTGATGCAAATGACATTAGAGTTAAGGGAAAAAATACTGAATCCGAATTATTTTTTCATGAAAAATTTGAGAAAACCTCAAGTAAGAAAAGTTGTTTCTATAATTTAACAAAGGATATTCAAAACCCTGATAAATGCTCCTGTAACCAACAAAGAAGACGCTCGTATCCTTGGAACCATGTGACAACTCAAATTCTTTCTCGAAGACTAGGTCGTACTGAATTTGAGCGCATTTGTATGTAGAAAGGGTTCCAAGTACTAGCTTCTGGCTGTTGATATTAACAAAGATTGGAACATTTTCACTGCCCTTTTCCTTCTTACTTTCACCAAGTGAAGCCTGCATAAAAATGGCAAAGAATACTAAAACAACTGTTTTAAAATTCCACAAAGAAAGAAAAAAACACATCAAACGAAACCTGTGAAAGATGCAAAACTCTTTCTTCCCCTGGCTCGCACTTGACAGTCTGTCCAGGTTTAACTTCAATACCTGAAAATAACACCAGAAATATGTGCTAAGCAATAAACATCTCCTCTAATCATGCCATAGCTAACAATGAGACTAAATTCATTTTGCGAGCTTTCTTCCGCACCCAACCAATAAATAAACTAACAAGTCGCTCAGAAAACAATAATCGCACATAAGAATTTTTCGGTAACGCGCTATACTTTAGAAAAACACTAACACAATCATACGAATCTTACAACCACCATACAACACCGAAAAAGAAATCTTATGAGAATATTTGTTTCATCTTCCTCAGTTTAACAACAGTAAGAGATCGACGTAAGAGTGAACCAGAAAACGTTACTTTTCAGACTTTCTTTGAGGGAAACTGATTGCAGAAATAGAGAAAGTCTACCCCACCCAGATCAAGGAGAATATGCAGACAAATGAAGATACTGAAAGCAGAGAAAGGGGAAGAGGACCGACGAATTACCCCAGAACTCCATTAGATAAGAGATTATCCGAAGGAGAGAGGACGGTGATGGCAGTTCAGACGAGAGCAGCCGCAAATTCCGGTTGGGAAAAGCTAGAAGGCGCTCGAGAGCTGGAGGGGTTTAGGGTTTCAGACATTTGAAGGGCTTTTAAATGAGAAGCGGCAGCAAAAATGTATCGCTGGCGATCGGCAAGATCCGCCGTCCGTCTAGTTTGAAACGAGCTCTCTTGAAATCATTTCCGTGCTGTAAATTTTTTTTTTTTTGAAAGTGAAAACATTAATAGAAAAAAAGAAGATAAGAGTTATAATTCAAATACACAAATTATATCACTAATCACCAAAATAATAAAAACTAAGAGACAAATAACTAAACGGGACATGAAAAAATAAATAAATGAGCTTCGAGAGAAAGCTTAAATAAATGTCCAAATCGAACCGAAGAGGAAGAGAATCATTAAAGGGGTGGCTCGCATGGCTCGCATATGGCTTGTGGAAGGCTTCATGACTTGCATGAGAAAGGATTTAACGATTTTTTTGGCGTTTATGGAGAGGTCATCAAGAAACCAAATTAAGGAAAATTCAATCATGGAGTTTGGAACTTGGGGCTTGATTTTGATTAAATATAATAATGGGATGAGATTTGGAGGTTGGGCTTTTGATTTGGGAAATTTGACGTGAAGAATTGATTTTGGGCTTGGTGATTTTGAAGTTGACATGTGGACTCAATTTTGGTGGATTTTGGACTTAGGTGAAATTTGGTAGTGAATGTGGACAATTAACTTGAAATTGGGGAGTTTGGGCTTGGGCTTGGAATTTGAACTTGACTTCAAAATTTCGTGGAATTGGGTCTGGATGAGGTTGGGATTTGCAAGGCTTGGAATTTGAACTTGACTTCGAAATTTGGTGGAATTGGGTCTGGATGAGGTTGGGATTTGCAAGGTTTGAATATGGGATAGAATTTGGAATTTTGGATAATTTGGGTAATTTTATCGATTTTGGAGCAATTTGGATAATTATGGTGGAGTTGAGTACAATTTTGGGAATATTGAAGCAATTTTGGGACTTTTTTAGGCTTTTGGGAATTTTTGGGAATTTAGGGGTATTTTGGTCATTTTGATGGTTTTGGGGTATTTTGAGAATTTTGGCATGTCTTGGGTAAATTTCTTGGCTATGGTTGGTTTTGATGAAATTTTGAGTGGAATTGAGGCTTTTAGCATTTTTTTGGTATTTTTGGGAATTTTGATAAATTGGAGAATTTTGCAAAATTTTTGGTGATTTTGGATAATGTTTGATGGCTTTAGATGGTGAACATGCAAGCCATGGAAAGCCTCCCTAAAGATACATGATCCTTATTTGAGCTCTTCTTGAAGGCTTCACATGTTGGTCCTAATACCAATGGTTAAAGACTTATAATCACCCACATGAGTCTTTAAGAAAGCTAAGGAGTGGTTATGGACCTCAAGGAAGAAGATTGGTCAATTCAAATGAATTGATGATTTTAGGTGTGTTAGGGAACCTGTAGGGGGTTCAAGTGTGTGTGCTCAAGACCAAGCCACCTAGGGTTGCCCTAATGCCAATTGATCCCATATAACTCATTCTTGAGTCTTCACATGTTGGTCTCAACCACCAAAGTACTGGAGGTTTAAGACCACCCATGTTTGGGTGGTTGAGACCAACATGTGGGACTTCAAAAAGAGTGGGGAATTGTTTTGAATTTATAGGTGGGGTAGGTTTTATCACTAGTCCTCTAAAATAAGCAATAGAAAAGTTCCATAGCTAAAATTCTAGGCTTCTAAAGAAGAAAGACAAACCTCATAAAAAAATGAGGTCAACAGTCACCCTAGGTGTAAATGATAGAACGAAACAGGTGTAATTCAAAGCGACGGGTGGCCACCACCATTTGCCTAGTATGAAGGAATTTTGTGGGGAAAACCTTTTGCAGTGTAGGGAACTTTCCATCCTCTACGCTCAAGCGCTAGATTTCATTCCTCCCATCATGAGGACCAAAATTACAGTCACAACTGTGAGATTACGACGATCCCGAAGTTTGAATTTTGGGCTAGAAAAGAAAATAGGTAGGTACACTCTTGGATACACGAGGGAATCGCAAAAACTCATAATCCTATGGGGTTTCCTCTATGTACAACAAAAATCTAACCTAAATCCTCTAACATTTAGACATAGGGGCCCTAAGAATGAAATGCAAGAGTTTCAAGAGTTCTCATCGATGTGGTGGTTGAGGACTCGTTATCTGGGCTTGTCCAAGCTCCGACAAAGTTCGTTGCTCTTCTTCCCCAAAGAATGGAGAAGCTCTCCTCTAGGAGGAGAATCTGAGGAAATTCCAGGGAGTTCCAAGCTCCAGCAAAGTTCCAGGGAAGTTCCAAGCCCTTTCCCCAAAGTGTGAAGAAGCCCTCCTTCATCGTACGAGAGATGCAGTTCCTTCTTCATTAGCACAAATCCTCCTCAAGAAAACCTCACACACACACTCAAGAAACGTGTTGGAGGAAGAAGAAGGGGGGAGGGGGAAATAGAGCTCTTTTGTGGAATAAGAAGAGGAAAGAAAGGAAGTAGAAGCTGCAGTGAGCAAGCCCTTCTCCTCATCTTTTTCCCAAGAGCTTACCTCAAGAGTTTTCCTAAGCTCCAAGGAATATGATCAGCTCAAGAGAACTCCAAGCAAAGCAAGAAGAAGCTCTCCCCTTTTATTCTCCAGCCCCTAAAAACAGAAGAAGAAGAAGAAGAATGGAAGTGGAGGGAAGCCTTAGGGAGTCTAAGCCAAAGAAAAGTCAGCTGCCTTTCCAAAATGCTCTCTTCTCTTTTCTAAAGCCCTCCCCCAAAAGGTCAAAAAGAGGTATAATGACCGGTTCTTTTCCTCCCCAAAGTAAATCTTCATATCAACCAAGAAACCCTGCAATTTCGGTTGCCTAAGGAAGAGTTTCAAACTGAAAATTATGAAACTCGTGCGAGAAATGGTGGGAGGGGTGGGGAGAGAGGAGGGGGGGGGGGGGGCACACAGGGGCGAATGACCCAGACACTTAGGCACTAGGCCTAAGGCAGAGTCCAAGGCGCTTGGGCATAGGGTCTTGCACCTTGGCGCCAACAAGCTGGCGATAGGTTTTGAGCTCATATTGGGTTGTTTCAGAGCAGTTTCTGGTGCCTAAGCGCCCTAAACTTGCATTGAGGTGCTAGTGACACCTAAGTGCTAGGCTTCCAGTATCGGGTTTTTGTTGACTCGGCTCCGGGACCATTTTAGGTTGTTCTGGATGCCAAGGCGCTCGAAACTGGGTCTGGCTCGTAGGCACACAGACCTAATACTAGGTTGCAGTCTTCTCTGTTTTAAGCCCCGTGTCGGCTGTTTTGGGTGCTTAGGCGCGAGGGTCTGGCTATTTTTCCAAAAAAATAAGATATTTTTATTTCAACTTGAACCAAAGGGAGACATAAGAATTTAGACACCAATCTGATAAGTAGGAATTAGAGTTACAAAACCTCAATATTATTTTAAATTTACACATGATATTGATAATATTTATGTTGGGGAGGCCCAATGCACCATAATATTTAGGTTTGGTAGTAGTGTACTAGGCGATAACATGCATTTTTTTATCAACTATATTATAATGAAAAAGATTTGAATGAAAGGAAATATTTCCTTGAAATTTTAAGAATGATAGAGGATATACACCAATAGTAAATATAACTTCAGATGAATGATTTGATCAATTGAAGTTTTCCAATAAGGATAAGAACTTTTTTGCTTCCATCCAAACAACCAATCCTATAATTTGTCCATAATCTTTGGATAATCTGATGCTTTTAGCTTGGATAAGTTGATGATAATACCAAGATAATCCCAAGAAAGTGAATTAAATTAAAAGCTAAGAATAACATAGTTTTGTTGTTTAGTAATATTATTAATCAATTTTGAGAAGCAAATAGTATATTTGAAAGGCTTGACACAAATTTTAATGGCGAACTAAAAGTGTGAACAAAAAAAATTTAAGTTGATAGAGTTTAGGTCAACCATACAAAAAAATGACCAAATAATTTGCATATGTAACGTGATTGATCTTTTGATTATTGGCCATGAAAATAACATAATTATTATTATCATGTTGAGTTTTCATGAGCCTAAGAAAAAATATCTATAAACAAAGAGGTGAGATGATGATGAATAATCTTGTCTAAAACTAGTTGATGAGTCAAATCTTTAATCCCACTAATAATAATACTAATAAATGAACATTTTGCATAGAAACTTTGATCCAAGTAATGAAGGAAGATGGAATTTCCATCTTATTTGTTATGTCATATAGAAAGTACCAACTCACATTATTAAAAGCATTACTTAAATCAATTTGGGAGTAGTAAAATTTAGGAGTGCAAGTATAATTGAAGCATTATAGAAGCTTATTTACAATAATATTATTGTAAGCAATGTCATGGCTTGAGATAAAAACAACTCAAGCTGGATAATATATGTTATGAATAATATTTTTCAGAATTTTTGGAAGGAGTTTAGAAATGGCCAAGAAATAATATTGCATAGAGAAATAGGTCTATAGTCCTTAAAATATAGAATATGTTCTCTTAGGAACAAGAGTGATGCAAGAATGCTTGGGCATATTAAAAAGGTATTTAATAGCCTTAATACATGAAGGACCAATGATAAACCAAATCTGCCTAAAACTTTAGAAGTAAACACATCTAAGCTTAGGGCTTTTTTAATTCACAGTCAATAAACATTCTAAGAGATTCTCATAATCAAGTTAATTAAGCATATGACCCATAAGAATTTTGACATGACAAGTGGGAGAAATGAGAATTTGATTGTTAAACAAAGCATAAAAATAAAAAAAAAATAGCTTTTCTTGCAATATCATCCTGGGAGCAATGCAAGAATTATTATAAAGAATTTATTTGATGTGGTTCTTGTTGCCTCTGATTCTTATCCTACGACAAATGAATTTAACGTCATATTTCATGTAGAAAGTTACGCACATTTAAATTTTTATCTAACCAATATGTTCTCGTAATTAGCATCAATAAGTTGATTTTTGATGGTAATGGCTTTGGAGAGGAGAACACTACAAAGGGAAGTGCTCTCATGTTTGATTACAATCTTCCTTTCCATATTTTTTAGCTTAGCGTTGATATTTTTGATGTAGTTAAAAGAGCTCCACTTCATACATTGAAGAGCTACTTTTAAATTTTTCATTTTGTTGTATAAGGCAAGGAAATGATCTCCATCCAGAGAAAGATTCCAAGTATCAGAGACAGTATTGAGGAAATTAAGGTAATGGTTTCAATAGTTTTTACACAAGAATTTGTGCTTTGATTTGTAGGCATTGCTAAAACAAATAAGAATATGAGTGTGAACAGAAGTTAAAGGTTCATTTACCTTAAAATGAGAGGGAAGATATGCATCCATTGATTATTAAAGAAGGCTCTATCAAGAGTGTATGTGAAGGGGTTATCATGTTGTTGGTTTTAATGACTAAATGAAAGGCTAATATTAGAAAGATCCTTAAGACTTGAATTAAAGGTGCAAGAACTAAAATAAGAAAACTTGCTAAGGATGGAAGGCACAATAGGCTATTCCATTCAATTTTTATGAACTGCAGTTGAAATCTCTTATGACTAACTAAAGACCAATAAGTTAGTTGCCAAATACATAATAAAATTCTAAATTATCAGCATAAACAAAGATTAAGTCAAAATACTATAAATATATTGAACATGAATTTCCAAGATCGAGAAGGAGATAACATATAAGTGTCATTATTAAATTCTTGCACATTCCAACTAATAATGTTAGATTATTGCTAAGAGAGAGTTGCCACTTTTATATTTGCCTTTTATTGGCTTAGAGGAGTTTGATTGGGCTAACACGGTGAGAAGTGTGCATTTGACCATGTGTCCAAGTGCCTTGAGGTGAAGCTAGGCAAGGGATTAAGCAAATTATTCACATGTGTCACATTATTAGGACTGATTTCTTTAGGTCTTGAACATGTAAGCCCATTCATGTCAGAGGGAGACCCCACAAATTAACCACCCATAAAATATTTTTTTGAACCTCCGATCCAATGTATTTACGTACGCCACAATCAAACTATTAAGAATTTGATAAGAATGAAAAATATGAGTCAGAATGAAAGAGAATGATTGATATGTAAATAGCAAATTTCGGATGGTCTGTAGCACAAAAACAAACAAAAAAAAAAGGAAAAAAAAAAAACACATATACTGGACATAAACTATCATTTACATGCTCCACAATTCCTTCGTCTTTACAAATCAAACACCTAAAATTTGATATTTATATTCAAAACACCTTGGTATCATAAGGCTATAAATGAAAAACTGCATTTCACTTTTAAAAAGTTTGCAATTGTGATAATTTTGATGTAATATTAAAGATTTGTGTTAAATAAATATGAAAATTTAAGTGTTAAATATGTAAATGCATAAAATGGCATGGTATGCAAGCGAAAGCCTCTCAAGTAAAACATCTTCCTATCGGGGAGATAGCAGTGCACTGAATAAACAAACAGATTACAATTTTACCAGGCAGAGAAAAACTGAAAATGACAAAAAACAATTGACCATTTTGCACAAAACATAAATAATTTACAGAAGCAGATAAATAACATAGATTCATAAAGGTGCTCAGGTGTGGTTTTTCATCTTCTCTCTAACCCTAATTACAATTATAATTCACCATAATTATATCAGCCATAAGATGGCATAATTAGACAAGCTTCAGATTCACAATAGAGGATAAATTTAGTAGATATAGCCTACATGAAATCGGCAAAGGCATCGCCTTCAATGGAAAATGTAGCAGAAGCAGCAGCAGCAACAGCAGCAGCAGCAATAGCAGGGGTCTGGTCTCTCCTGAGACTCAAAGGAACAGTTAAATAAGCTAAAAGCTTATTTTCCCTATTGATATTTAACTAAATAAGCTAATTTACTCTCCCTGATTGGTCAATAAGGGTGCCGACTTGGTCCCCGCAAAGCGCCCTCGAAATACTGTTGGTCTCCATAAGATTAAAAAGAACAACTACAAGAAGATAAAAGATCCAATAAGACCATGCATGTTTCTAAATCATCAAATACATTTGCGTAATTTATATGTTAATGTTAATGATATTTTTGATGTGATGCTTAGAAAAATATGGAAGATTTACATACATATCTCACAATTTCTATGTATTCCCATATCTAACATCTAAAATTTGATTTTTTTTATTTTTAATTTTTTTTTTATAATATGTATAGCACTTTATCTATGCATCAGATGCATTTTGCTTTTTAAAAGTTTGTAATAGTAATGTTTTTTATGTGACATGAAAGATTAGTGTGTTATAAATGTAAAAATTGATGTTTAGATGTTAGATATGTGAATAGATAGCAATTGTGTAGTACATATGTATATGCCCCCATAAATATAAAGATTATGGTGTTAAATAAATAAGAATTTGAATTAAAAGGTATGCATGTAAATCCATCTTTTTGTGATTTACAACCTACCATAAAATTCTTATAACACAACTATATATAAAACACATCAAAATATAAGCACAAAAGTATGCATTTAACTTTAGATAAATTGATATTGGTAATGCTTTTGATTTAATTTAGAGATTAAAGTGGTATCTAAATAGAGATAAAAATTAGGGGCAATTACAAATTACCTACATAACACACCATTTTTATGTCTTAACATATCTCGCACCCAAACTTTCATATTTACACACAAAACACTAAAATCTTTAATATTACATCAAAAATAATATCATCATCAATTTTTAAAAGTGAAATAAATCTTTCCACGAATAGGTTTAAAGCGCCAAACTGTTATGAATGTAACTATGAAAGTTAGGGGTGAGATATGTAAATCATAATAATTGTGCACTACATATGTAAATTTCCCTAAAAATTTAAGTGTTAGAAATGTAAATAAGTAAGAATTCAGTGGTATGCATGTAAAGCAGCCTATTACAAAATAATAAGATCTGAAAGCGTATGTAAGCAAACCAGGAATGTTGTTTTCTTCACAGAAAGTAACCGCAGCCATGTCAATTGCATTGAAACCCCTGGAAATCCATTCTCTAAACGATATGTGCTCAAATGAAGAGCTGCTGCTTCGGGAATGGCAGTCATAAACAATATCTGTAGTGGTTCCTTTCAATACAACATCTGCGTTAACTGCAAAACAAAAGGGGGCATTTACATACATAGCACACAATTCTTATGTATTTACATATCACACCTAAACTTTCATATTCACACACAACACTCAAATATTTAATCACATACAAAATATCACTATAATCACTTTTTAAAATTGAAATACACCTTTTCATGCATAATTTCGAAAGACCGAAGTGCTATGTATGTAAATATGAAAGTTTAAGTGTGAGATATGTAAATACATAAGAATTATGTTACAGATGTAAATTTCCCAAACATAAAATATTTCATTTAGTAGACTGTGGGCAAATAATCCATACAAAAGTTAAGGGAATCCTGCTTTGTACAAGCTATGGCAACCCACTCTCTGAGGCTCTCAGAGCAGCAGCTGTGTCAGTGGTGAAGAGCGGATTTCCCGTTCCAACGCCGATTCCTCCAAATATAACAATTCGTCCTTTTTCGAGATGGCGAATAGCTCTTCGTCTGATGTATGGTTCAGCGACCTCCTGCATCATAAATGCAGTTTGAACACGTGTTTCAACACCGATCTTCTCGAATGATGCCTGGAGCAAGATAGCATTCATGACCGATGCCATCATGCTGTCAAATGATCAACTATTGAAAGTATTAGCTCAAATATATGTAGTATATTCACAATATTATTTGGGGCATTTACATACATACACCCAATTCCTATATATTTACATATCTAAAACCTAAACTTTATCTTTTGCATTTTTATTACACAAATCTTTCATATCACATCAAAAATATCAATTTTTTATTTTTAAAAAGTTAAATTATTTCATGCATAGGTAAGGTGGTATTTATGTAAAAATTTAAGTTTAAATGTTAGATATGTATTAGATATGTAAATACATAGGAATTTAGTGGTATGTATGTAAATCTTCCATATTATTTATGTAAGAGATCATGCATGTAAAATAAGGAACAGAATCAATCAAGCATGTATGTTCTCGATCAAGAATATGTAACAAGCAATCAATACGGCAGCTGGTTGATAAAAAGACTGGAATCAATTTTAGTAGTTCAGCACACATGATCAAGAATAACACCAATCTGTAAATTCAAAAATGTGCAGAGTTGGGATTATACATTAATGTAGGCATTACACAGCAAGAACAACTGTCTTTTCACAGCCTTACTTCCTGAATGAGACAAAATGATGTGCGAAAGCTAAAATCAATAATTGAGATTTGCAGAGTCATGACATAATCATCATCATCATCACTATCATTAGTTTAATGTCTTATAATACTGCTTAAGACCAGCTTTATAATCTTATAACTTCACTCGGGTTATTTATGCATCCATAAATCTAATTAATTAGGGGCTATTTTGGATCATTTTTGTTATTTGTTTTTTTTACTTTTTTTTCGTTATTTTTTTTATTTGAAATAAAACATTTTAGGCGTTTTAGAAACCATAAAATCACCTAAAAATTATTTTAAATATTTTTAAAAACTAACTAAATTTATTTTATAAAACAAAAACATGTGAAAAATACATTAAAAAACTATGTTTCGAATAACAAATACAAACACTAGCTGAAACAAAAGTGATCCCAAATGACCCCTTAGTTATGATTTCATATGACATTTTGACACCTTCACATCTCAATTAGCACTATGCTTTAAAAGGTATGTTTGGAGCAAAGTTCATGGTAATACTCAGAGCAGGGTGAAGTTCACTTGCTTTGAGGCTGTTGGTAAAACTATTTAGCAAATGAGGCTTCACAGAACACAAGGGACAAAACATACAGCTTATGATATAAACAATATTGATTATCTTCAAATTATTAAATGATTAAAATTTGGGGCATTTACATACAAGCCACTCAATTCATTTGCATTTACATATCTAAAACAGTAAAATCTAAACTTTATTTATTGCATTTATACCACCCAAATATTTCATATCACATCAAAAATACCATCAATGTAACTTTTAAAAAGTGAAATACACAGTTTCATGCAAAAGTAAGGTGGTATATGTATATAAAAATTGAAATTTTGGCAATAGATTTGTAAATATTTGTAAATACATAGGAATTGAGTAATATGTATGTAAATCTTCCTTAAAGTTTAATATGTTATCAAAAACCTTCCTACTCATTTGATAACAATTTTAAATGACAAGACCATTTACCCTAATCTTAGCTCAAGCAAGGTCTCTTCCATGAATTTCACATTTGTTTGTCTCCCTTATTCATTAGTGTGCATCTTCTTTAGCTTGCATGAGGCACATCTCTGATCTCCGTTCATTCCCCAGCTCAAAAGCTTCATCAATTCAAAGCGATTACTAGGGGACAACATAACTAATTGCTTAAAGCCACCACATGTGTTTATATTATCTTGGGGCATTTACATACATAGCACACAATTCTTATGCATTTACATATCTCACACCTGAACTTTCATATTTACACACAGAGGACCAAAATGATTAATATCACATAAAAAATAGCATTATTACCACTATTTAAAAATTCAAGCATAGGTTTAAAGCACCAAAGTGCTATGTATGTAATATGAAATTTTAGATGTGAGATACGTAAATACATAAGAATTAAGTGCTACGTGTATAAATTTCCTTAGTATCTTTCCTTATTACCTTTCCCATATCAACAAAGTTGAGAGGAAGGCAATAATATAAGTTAAGAATAAACAATCGCCATAAAGGACTTTGAAATCTAGGAAAATTTAGAACATAGTTTTAGTTTCCTCATTATTAATATTATTTAATCATATTTTTATATTTATGAAATATTAAAAAAATATAATTCAAGAGGCTTACTCCTCACCTCATGACCAGTAAAATGCCTCATCACTCTACCTTTTAAAACATTCATTAACATTATTATTTGCCAGAAAACGTTTACCATACTCTAAAAAGCAAAAAAACAAAGGTTCACCGCACATCTTCTTGTCTAGCAGGATAAGGCTTGATGAATCACTGCGTATAAATTTTTTAGATAGTTTCCATTTTCATTTAGAGGACTCTAATAACTTACTTCACACTCAATTTGGAGAATAAGTGCAATGCCACTGTCTTCATTAATAAACAATCAAAGAGATATAATCAACCATTTGCTTTCTAAAACTTTAGCAAGCAACATAATGATTCTCCTTCGAACAACAAATAAATACCATAAAAGGGTAGAGAATATACCATGAAACCCAAATAGCTACAATTTTCAATAAAACAGCCCTGGTGTTTAATAAAATCTTGTCTAAGTGATTAGATCCACAAAACTCTAGCAACCAACCTAAGCTGCATGTTGGTGAACACCTCGTTCAGTGAATGCCTTGCTGATATAGATATTATCCTTCTTCCAGGAGAAAGAAAAGAAGAGAGATAGAGATCAAGACGAGTGATAGAGATCCAGAGGACACAGGAATCTCAATATTTAAGAGCAGGGGCAGAATGAATCATGAAATGGCTTAATTCAATTCATAATAATGAAAAACAACATCCTCCAAATGATATTTATATAAAAGGGTTTAACTTCCAAATTTAAAATATGTCCATCATCAAATCTAAATTCAAATAAAATTTTCTCGTTTAATTAAATTTACAATCATAATAATCCAAAAGGAAAACTTTTTCCTAATTTAAAGAAAAATAATAATAATATAGACATTTAAAATCATGAACCAGTCTAGTTTTGCTTCAGTTTAGACATGGGGTGCACTTGTGGCCTATAAATCTAGATTTCACTTCTGTTAAAAAAATAAAATAAAATTATCCTTCAACAGTTCTCATATCTTCATTTTGATGCTATCCAGCATGACAGCTTACAGGGCTTCCAGGGTCAAAAAATCCATTCAACTCAGTAGAATGCCAAGCCAAAAGCAATATTCAATAATTGCAAAATGACTTTTACCGGGTAATGAAGGATAGCTGGGCTAATATTTTTGGTTGTAATTCCGCTAGTTAATAACTTAATATCCTTTCACAGCACAAGAGAATAAAGTAATATAGAATAAAATAAAGTTAAGTGCTTGCTAACTGTAAGCTGGAGTTAAAATGCTTCAAGGTTGAACAATTAAGCTTCAATTAAAATATAAATTTACAATTAAAGTTAATGCCCTAAGTTATATGTTTATGTTCAGTTACCCAGTAAAAATTAAGTAATCAATATTGCTATTTACAAGTCTAGCACCTGCTTTCTTCCATTTTTCAAATTCTCGCTCGAATATCAAAATTCATCATAAAACCCTAACCCATATTTTTCATTTTTATCAAATTATAAATGGTTTGATCGTGGAAAATACAAATACATCGGTTCAGTAGTTCAAAAACATCACCTGGGTGCTAGATTTTGTAAATAGCAATATTTCAGGAGCTATGTATGTAATTATCCCAAAACTTGAAATACATGATGCAATACTTAAGTATTAAATAAGGAAAAACTAATCTCATTGGTTATGTGTATTTAGAAATCCAATAAGATAGTTGTTTCAACAGAATTACATTTGAATTCAAATTTATAAATAAGAAGAGAAATGATGTGATAGTCAAGTATTAAATAAAATAATTGTAGCATTCAAAATAAAAAAAGTGCCATGCGTCATATATAATTTTATAGTCAAGCGCATTTGAATTCAAATTCAAACAGTTATATGACGATCACAGAATAACTGTTCCATCATGGAGTTGCAAGCTTAATATAATGAAGATTATATCTCGGTGTTGCAATTCATGCACATATAATAGTATAAGTAATACCAGCTTTAGGAGAATGCAAGGCATATATTTTTTTTTGTATCAACCAACATTACGTTATTGAGTTTGCTTAAGCGCATTTATCTAATTTCAATACTCTATGCAATATCTCCATAGTGAGCTATCATATATTAGTTGCCAGTTGGATCCTTTTTCCAGCCAACACAGTAATATTATTCCTTCAAAATTTCCTCTTAAAAAGCCTGTGTCTAGAATAAAATTTGAATCTATACAGACAAACCTAAAATTTAAGAAATAATTGTATGCGCTCCATATGTCACATGAACATTCAGTTCCTCTCAGGCAATCATCAAATCTATAATGAATTCCATTGTAAGGAGCTCCAATGCAAGTTCACAAATGTGACTAATGCTATTGAAAAATAATCACAATACTATTTCCTTACACAAATTTCATGAATTCTAACCTGTTGGTAGTTAAATGATGGAGAAACGTATCAAAATGTTCCCTAGACTCTTTTAGAGGTGTATTTTGATCCCAAAGTCTATAAAAGTGTAAATTTAGTTCTCATATATTTTTTTAAATGGGGAATAAAATAGTCTTTTGTAGAGACTATTTCGGCCCATATTAAAAGATTCTAGGGATTAAATTGATATTTCTATAGACTTTGAGGCTAAAATAACCTCATATAAATAGTGATGGGACTATGTTGGTACTTTACTCTTAAGTGATGGGATCCAATCAAAAGCACAAGTTGATAACAAATAAAACATATTTTGTATAAGAAAAGATTAACTAATTATTAATTTAGTATAAGAACTCCATAATGACAGTTAAAACATATTAAATAAGATTCAAAAGTACCATCAATATAGACGAACATACCTGATTTGGTAAGTGGTGGATCTATCTATGCCAGTAACTTCCACCCAAGTATCACCGCAGAAAAAATTCCGACCACCAACAACAATTGCCACCTATTAATAAATCACACCAAAAAAAAAACTGTAGAATCTAAAGATGCACGGTGTATTGCTTTATATATTGCATTTAAAAAACATGTACCTCAACACCAACACGGCTTGCCATAGCAACCTCTTTGGCAATCAACATCATAACCTAACAAAGAAAAATGTTAAATATCATATGCCGAAAAGCCTAGTTAACATTCTCTGACAGTATTGGATAGAAGCTCACCTTCGGGTCAACATTCTGGGGACCTGTCCCAGCTAATACAGCGCTACTAATTTTCAAAACGGCTCTCTTCCATCTAGGATTTGATAGTGATTTCAACTTAAAATTACTTGTTAAACTAGATGAAACAGGTGAGGTAACAGGATATCTGCACATGCAATCAACCAAAAATGAGATTGAAATAATTTGCTAATTCATAACGACAATGCACATTGCCAAAATAAGGCCAATACTTACAAGGTAAAGCTATTAATATTCATCAATGATGAAGTTCTATATTAATTCAGGGTGTTTATAATAATATTCTTACGATTAAATGACTATGACACTCATTCAAACATTTCTCTAAGGAAGTTGAGATTTTCGGTGATTAAAATCAAAAATATAAATGGAATAATTAAAAAAAGCACGAATTCAGAAGATGCTCTGCATCGGGCTGAATTATGATTACAATCCTAAGGATGCTGATCCCTGCAGTTCCACAATTACATATTGCTTGAAATCTATAATTTAATTCTCCAGAATATTGCATTAAGTGCAAGTTTTGACTGTGTATCTCTTCTTCCTCATAATGTGTTCTTGATTAGAAGTTTGGAGAGAAGAATGAGGATATATTTTATCATGACCATGCACAATATGAATAGATGTTCCAAGGATTTTGTAATGAGAATTGGAAGGTAAATCCTTCTTTGTAGTCAGGAATTGAACTGGCATATCTCATCCTATATTTCTAGATCTGTCGGTGCTTGGCTTTTTAATCTTTATCTCAATCAAGTTGAGTTTCCAACCAGCTAAATGGACAGGCTATTGGACCGGAATTATCTTGTTATCACTATAAGGTGCTTCCTAAACATCAAGTCCAATATATCGTACCAAGATTGGGAACAGTTGAGCTACGTGACTTCACCTAGCATGATCTTTTGGCCCATCTTACCTAATTGGAGGCTTGGAGCACATGTTACTCAACTCCAATTTCTCTTCCTCAGCAACTTGGTTGACTCAGTTGCCTAAGAGGTTCTTCCATGAACCTGGTCTTTTTTGAAAAAAGGCAATGCACACTAAGCGGGAGCTATACCTATATTGACTTTGGCAATCCTTGCCTCATCTCCAGTTTTCAACATAGACCAAAGATCTAGTTTTCTTCATTTGAAATTTTTGAACTTCCGAATTTGGATAGTTACTCATATTGATTTGTCATTTAAGACAGTCAGGCGACTTATTTAGTGAGATTTATTCGTGTCAATTTTATTATTACTTTTGAAGGAGAAGCTTCCTAGTGCGAATGGAAGAGAGTGACTAGTGGGGAGACCAAGCAAAGCATCCTAAGGGGGAGCCCTTTTTCTTCTTGGATTATATTCAACTTGGGGCTTGCACTAGCCTTATTAATAAGAAATATTGGAGCTAGAGGGTCTAAATATGTCTGCTCTGCCTCCCATTATTTCTAATTTACTAATTTCTTGACCTCCTCCCCCAAGTAAAAAAATCTTTATTTCATTTTGGAGGTGTTTTGTCTCCATTACGATTCTTTTTATTATTTTAACACTGTCAATGCCGAGTCCCAAGTCCCGGATGTGTAAAGTGAAGGGTTGCGTTGAGTAGTAAACAGACAGTGTAAAATTTGTCCAAAAATCATGACATAAATCTTTTTGATCATTGTGTAAATGTCAGGACGTCCCCTGGAAGCAATGCACTTTATGACCTGAATACAGTAAAAAAGTGTACAAATTTCGTTACACCGGCATCAGGGTATAGTGTTAAATAACCAAGAGTTCCCACATTACGAATGGATGTGGGTAAATAAGTTAATCCATGAAACTAATACTATGATAGAATCTTGGAATATAGATATTTTCATAGTAAATTAATGGAAATAGTTGATATTATGATTCATAGAAATATAAATATCTTATGTATTCAAAAAACTAAATGAGTTAGAAAAAAGGCTAAGGAGATTGATAACTTAGGCTTTAAACTTTTGTATTCATATAACAATCACACTAGAAATGGTGTAGCTGTAATTATAAATAAGAGTTTAAAAGATAATGTTATAAAAATTAATAGAGTTGAAGATAGAATTATAAGCCTTAAGATTATTATTGATTCTAAGATTTTAATATTATAAGTGCTTATGTTCCATAAATAGGTTTAAATATAGGTTTCAAAAAAATTATAGAATGATCTAGAAGACTTAATATAAATGATACCTCTTGAGAAAGAAATTTTATTCGAGGAGATTTAAATGGACACGTTGGTATAGTTGTAGAAGATTTTAGAAATATGCATAATGGCTATGGTTTTGAAGTGATTAATGAAGAAAATAGTTAAATTAGATTTTGCTTTAATGTTATTATTGTTAATATTTTATTCAAGAAAATAGATGAGCATATTATTACCTATAAGAACGGATCTAATAAAACACAAATTGATTATTTTCTAATGAGAAGTGATTGTCGAGAATGTAAAGAATGTAAGGTCATTCCAAGTGGGGATTTAAGTACTCAACATCGATTAGTAGTTCTAGATGATTAGTAGTTCTAGATTAGTAGTTCTAGATTTTAAGATGAAGAGTTGTAAAATAAATAATACTAGAAAATATTGTTGTAGAATTAGATGGGGCACCTAAAAGACAAAGAAAATTATTTTTATAAGTAAACTTCAAAATTCCAAGATTTGGGATGTTCATGAAGAAGCAAATTCTACGTGAGATAAAGTAACAAACACTATTAAACAAGTGACAAAAGATGTACTAGGAGAATCAATAAATAAAGTTTATATAAATGAAAATAGTTGGTGATGGAATAATAATATGCAAGAAAATATAAATATAAAAATTTATATTATAAAAATTGATTTAAATATAAAAGATTAGAAAACTGAGCAAAATATAAACTTGTCCGTAGGGAGTCTAAGAGAAGAATCTATGACGCTATAAATTTTACTTTTAGTAATCTTTATAATAAATTAGATACTAAAGAATGTAAAAAATACATGTATAGACTAGCTAAACAAAAAAAAAGTAAAGATTTAACTCAAGTAAAGTATATTAAAGATGAAAATAAAAAAAATATTTTTTATAGAAAAATATATTCAACATAGGTGGGTGAGTTATTTTGATAAACTTTTTAATAAAATTTATGAAAATACAATCAAACCTTAGTAATTTAATATTATTATTAATAATAAAATAATTCATTTTTACCATCGTATCAGTTAAAAAAAGTTGATGAGGCTTTAAAAATATGAAAGGTAAAAAGTCTGTAGGACCTGATAATATTCCAATTGAAATGTGAAAATATACAAGAGATTTGGGAGTTTCTTGCCTTACTAAATTTTTTTATATTATTTTAAAAACTAAAAAGATGTCTGAGAAGTGGGGGAAGAGTATTTTAGTGTTTATCTTTTAAGAATAAAAGGGATGCACAATAGTGTAAAAATTATAGAGAAATTAAGTTGATTTGTCATACTTTAAAATTATAGGAGAGGGTAATTGAAAATTTGTTAAAATGCATTACAAAGATTTCTCATAATTAATATGGATTTATGTCGGGCAGGTCTACTATGGAAGCTATACATTTATTGAGAGGTTTAATGGAGAAGTTCAGAGAGAATAAGGAGATCTACATATGATTTTTATTGATTTAGAAAAAAACTTACGATAAGGTTCCAAGAGATATCCTTTGGAGAGTTATAGAGGAGAAAGGCGTTGATATGACTTATATTCAAAACATTAAAGATATGCATACTAGAGCTGTTACTTGTGTTTGAACAAAAGGAGGATTTAAAAAATATTTTAGTTGGATTACTTGGTTTATGCCTCTCGTTGATGATATTCTTCTCATGGATAAGACTAGAGATAAAGCTCAAGAAAAACTTGAATTAAAGATGTCAACATTGGAGTCTAAATACCTTCGTTTGAGTGGAACTAAAACAGAACACATGGAATGTAATTTTAATAGTAGTAACTCTAGTGATAGAGTTGTAATTATGGGTGATCAAATTATTAAAAGGTGTGAACGCTATAGATATCTATAGATATCTCGGGTAGATATCTCGGGTCTATTGTTCAAAGTGATTGTGATATAGATGGGATGTCATTAATAGAATTCAAGTTAGTTGGTTGAAGTGGAGGAACATTTCAAGCCTCTTGTATGAAAGAAAAGTACAACTTAAACCGAAAGAAAAATTTTATAAGATGGTGATGAGACCTACAATGCTCTATGGCACTGAATGTTGGCCTTTAAAAGAGAAGCATAAAACTAAGTTAAGTGTTGTCGAGATGAGAATGCTTAGGTGGATGAGTGGCCTTACAATTAGAGACAAAATACAAAATGAATATATCCATGATAGGGTTGGTGTAGCTCCAGTGGCGGACAAAATTAGAGAAAGTTGTGTTAGATGGTTTGGTCACATTAAACGTCGACCATTTGATGGTCTGATTAGGAAAGTAGATGTTTTAGATTCGCTTATGTTAAAAGAGGTAGAGGTAGACCTAGAAAGACTCGGGCATATTGTAAAAAAAATGATTTATTAAAATTAAATGAAAATATGACTCTTAATAGGACGCAATTAGAAAAAGGATTCATGCAGCCGACTCCACTTATTGGGGTAAAGGTTTGTTGTTGTTGTGTTGTATTTCTTCTTTCTCTTTCTTGACTTATTAACTCGATGCTTACTAATTCTAAAGTCAAATTCTCATGAATTAGAGGCAATATTTCCTTTTTTGACTCATGCTTTTGTCCCGTCACTTTTCTTATTGTTTGTTCTTCTATTTTTTTCGTTCTAACCTTCCTAAATTATATGGCATGTACTTTTAAAAGCTTGGAATTAAATGAAGAAAGAGAAATGATAAAAAATTCATAAATAAAATTGAAGAAAGTTTTTTGGCTGCAAATATGATTTTAAGTTAAATAGAATTTAGTAAATACAGTAAATCCAGATTATCAAATCCAAATCCTGTAAATCTAGAATAGTGTTTGGTTCAATTTAATGTTAAATCCATTAAATTTGTTTATCCTGTTTGACATAAATCCATTTCTCTAATTTCCTTCGTAAGTTAAATCTGTTAAATCCACATAATAATTATATTTAATAAATCCGGATTTAGGTTAAAAAATTAACGGAAAGGGATGATTTTTAGATTTAACAAAATTCGGATTTAACTTCCTCCAAATTTTTTGTTTGGTTGTATTGGTGTTAATATTAATGTAAATCCTGCTCAAATCCGGCTACTAAATACTCCCTTAGTGTTTACTAACTCAAAAAACTATTTGGTAAGTTTTAGCCTAATTTTAGCCTAATTCATGAATAATTTAGGCTAAACAAACAGCCTCAAAACATCTAAAATGAATTTCGTGTATGGAAAAAGTGAGTTTGGGTGCAAAACAATGGGACCTCTTCATCTGTCTCGGAGCAGGAGTGGTATCACCTAGTGCCGCACCCTTATCTTCATCGGGAACAACCTTAGAAGAAGAGGAGGAACCCACGACCTGCTCCATCTTCTTGAACCATGGCCAATGGCTAACAGTAAGGTTTCCACTGCTAAGTCGCTGGCATTCCACCTTATAACGCTTCTTGAGATTATCAACCTTGTTTTTGCACTGCTCCACGGTTTTGCCTGACTTCTGCTTGTCGCATCTCTCGCTTACAGTAGTGGCAACGTCTTCCCAGTCCCTCCCCCTTAAATTTCCACGGTTCAGCTGTATGTACTTCTCCGTATACGCATCCAGAAGGCAGCCAATGGCCGAATCGCTCCACTCCTCGCGGTCCTTTCGGTAGTCTCCAGACGAATTCGGCGCCGTCAAAGCTGACCTAGACCGCTTGTTACCGATGTTGTAGCCGTATGGCGATTCTCCATCGCTGAGCTCATCCCGGTCCCTGCGCTTCGAGTCGACACGGGAAGCATGGTGGGGGTGTTGCTGCTGTTGCTGGTGGTGAAGGTGGGAAGCAGATGCCGCCGCATGGGACTTGTTGCTAGGGTTATCATCCCCATCGACATCGTCGTCTTCTGGATGCTGTGCCGGATCGAAGGGGTTTGATCCCGGATCGTCTCCGGTGAAGCAATGGTTGTGTGGGTTCATATCCGTCTGGGCAAAGGCTTGGCCGTAGCCCTCATGATCATCTTCCTGGCTGACAGCGCCTATGGCCACTTTCTTCGAGTTGATTGGGTTGAGGTGAATACTGCGCGAGTGAATTGGCATCGGTGCCTTGGAGATGTAGCGATGGCTTGAGAAGGAAACAGGGCCGGCAGCCACGGTTGCTGAAGCTTGCTGCTGCTGCTGGGGATGATGATGGTGAGACTGCCCCTCGTCACCGAGGAGAGCGAAGTCGTCGTCGCAGGAGGCCATCGGTGTTGCGGCGGCGTTAGGGTTAGGGTTAGGGCTTTCGGATCCGTGCCTGGCGGAGGCAACGCGAGACGGGACGGGAAGCAGACGACGTTAGAAACGAGAGTCGGTATCGGCTGTGCAAGGTCAATTAAATGCGTAACGGTGGGAGTTCCCGGAGGCCTGTGGGTTACGGAACCGTTACGATGGCTCATGACTCCGTTAACACCTCGTGCGATTACCGAGTGCTGAAGCGGTTCAACTCAACTCGCCATTTTAACTTCTTCGAGCAAAGCGTTCAACGATCCCATCTCGATCACCGCCGCAGCAAGTTTGTTAAGTGCTGACAATAAATGGGGAAAATATTACACCAGAGCTCTTAACAAAGAGCTACGTTTGAAGCATTGATATTTAGACACATAAATGTGATGGAAAAATAAAAAAAAATAATTTTAGAGCAGGGAAATATTCTTCCTATGTTATTCCATATTATTTAGGTGTTATTGTGGTGGTATTTATGTGTTACTGTGTTCTGGGAATATTCTTAGTGTTATAATAACACAATAACACATTGATACCACCGCAATAACATCTGAATAACGCAGAACAACACAGGAGGAATATTCTTTTGTGTTATCGGATCAGATCACAGGAAAACACGTGCATTTCCTTAAATCCACGTGTTTGTATATCGGTGGACTCCGAACGTAGCTCTACGTTAGGAGTCCGGATGTAATATTTTTCCAATAATTGAATGGTTCGATAAATTATTAGGGGTTCATTCATATTTATTTAATTAAATAATTAAATAATTTTGAACATTTATAAATATGTTATAATTACATAGAGACCACTCGAATTTTCATATTTATAAGCTCTAAGATGATTTTTTTAAACTATCAAACCTTCATATTTACTTGTGCTACAATCAAACTATTGAGAATTAAATTTTCATATTTATAAATTAAGCTCTAAGATGATTTTTTTAAACTATCAATCCTTTATATTTACTTGTGCTACAATCAAACTATTGAGAATTTGATAAAAATAAAAAATATTTATTAGGGTTTATCATGAATTTTCATATTTTAATGAGAATTTGAAAAATGGATGAAAAAGGGTGGTTGATTTGTAAATAGCAAGTTATGGGTGGTCTTGTACATTTGAACGAATACTTATTCAATTTATTTATATTCTTGAAAAGTGACATCATGAATAAATTAGATAAACACATTCATTTAATGTTAATAAATAAACACTTTAACAAACCCAATTAAAGCATTTACATTAAATTAATTTTTTTTAAATAAAATATTAGTTTTAACATTTTAAATTATTTAATTTAATTACATTACTTGATTATTTTTTATTTACAAACTAATCATATACAACTTAAACTTTTACTAATAAAATTCAATAAGATAATTTAATTATTTTTAATTAAAAGTTTCCTAAAAAAATATTAAGGCTAATAGAATAAAATTGTACTATCGATATATATATATATATAATCACATTTTGACTGCCTACATAATATTCTTCCCTTTCTCCAGGTTTGTAGATTGTTAATCAACAAGAGATTTGTTATACAATCTATATTTTTGATTGATTAACCCTAGAGTAGAATCCTTATTCTATAGTACAGTCATTAGACAACTCAAGACAAGGTTGGTTGATCTGGTTTGGCTTTGACCAATCCTTTCCACGGGTCTAATTGATGATCCATCAGAAGTTGGGGCACAACTCATATGGCACCATCAAGATATGATCCAGTTCGTTAATCTAATCACAGTTGCAGTTGCTGACATACATTCACACTTTGGGTTAATAATTTTAAGTCGAGATAAATCCCTTAACTCAGCCTAACTCATTGGACACTAAAGATATGATTTTCCTTTCTCAAGTTTACCAGTTTTGTTGATACACCGACTTCAACATAAACTGACACTTCAACTCTGTAAATTTAGGATGGGCCCTAATATAGCCATTGCACACTACCGAGTTAGGATCACAAAATTTATCTAGTGTGGACTAAAGAAACGGGCTTGGATTGACTCTCCATCATTGGGATTAAGCCCTGACATGCCCCCGCACAGAGCAACTTGATTCATTACTTTTATTGTACAATAAAGCAGTGTCTTGACTACTATAAAGTAAGTTTAAAACAAAAAAAAACCTTTCATAGTCTTTAGTCATTGGACACCTAAACTATAATCAACAAATCAAATCTAATGAAATCAACACAAATCAACACCAAATTGACAGACCAACAAATTTTCCTACTCGGTTCATTGACCTCGGTCCCCTCATAGGACTTGATAAGTTAATGTCTTGACACTGCAAACCCAATAAAGTATGTGCAGCTCAATAATATAATCATTGCACACTGTCGAAAGTTCCTTAGGAGTCCAAAGCCCAATGGTCAACTCCTAAGACAATCAAATCAGAGCTTACAGTAGGTTTCAATCCCTGAAGTGTCTGCCTTAAACTAATTATCTGACTTGCCTTCATGTTAGATTCTTGTATCATCTATCTAAGACAAGTCACCACTGTGCACCTCTGTAGGCCGAGAATAAGTCTATGCACCCTTTTTCCTAATGTGCTCAAGCACAACAAAAATTAACATCACAACTCATTAAATCAAACTCTCTAATAAAATTAAACAGAATTATCCAAAATTTTCTTCTACGACTACGTATTAGGATGAATGATATGCTACAATGTTGTCCTTTTTGATCTAGTCATCCTATCTATCTTCTAGGTTGGATGTTAGTTCTCGCGCTTTCCTTCCTAGTATAAACACTTTTTCTCAGTTTCCTAGCTAGTTATCAGAATGAATGATATACCCCAGTGTTGTCCTTTCTGATCTAATCATTTTGTTCATCTTCTAGGATGGATGTTAGCCCCAATGCTTCCCTCATAGTATAGGCAGTTTTCACAGTTCCCCATCTAGCTTACAAGATGAATGATATGCTACAATGCTGACCTTCTTGATCTAGTCGACCTTCTCACTTCTTTGGGTAAATGTAAATTCATATTTGTTTTCCATCGTAATGTGTCTAAGTAAACCTGAAATCCTCAGCTGATCTTAAACATCTCAATTCACAAAATCACAAACTTATGACCCCTTTCAAATTTCATTGATCGCTTCGATCAACGTCAATATATGTGGCGTACTTTGGATAGTCCACCATATATTAGGGGTCATTTTGTTGACCTCATTTTTTGTCATATAATACTTGTACGAACATCACCCCTTGATCTGACATGCCATGATTAGTCAAAAGGGAATCAACTACCTTTTTTTTTTGGCCTGGCGTGGTCATGGTAGGCCTTGGCGTGACCACTCTCCAAAATATCTCAGCTTGGTCATGCCTAGCCCAGGCGTGACCACACCCAGGCATATCGACTTCACATGTCAGTGATTTGTGGCCTTCGTAGACATATCAAACTCCAAATTACCGTACTCATTGGTCGACAGTGATCTGTGACACAATAACCACCATACTGATCATCACCGTCGAGTCGCCACCTTATCGGAGGACTCTACCACCGCCTTCCCCACCTATAAAAGGGGGTCTTCGACACTGGTCTTTTACTGTTTGCACTGTCTGGGCACTGTTCGAAGAGGAAGAAGAAGTGTAAAGGGAGAACAAAAAGGGATTTCGATGTGCTTCTTCCTCCTTTTCCTCTTCTATTTAACCTCCTCTCCTCTCTGTAAATTCCCCTTCCTTCCACTCTTAAAATAAGCATTTTATTTTTAACTTTTAAACCTAATTCAATCAACTCAAAGACCTTGGATTAGCCTTGGGTATAGGTTTAACTCAGTTTGACCCGAATCCAACCTAACACAAACTCACTTAGCCTAAACCCATCCCAAAATCAAAACCCAACCTAACCCCGCCTAACCCAAACTTACATAGCCTATACCTAGCCCAAAATCAAAACTGAGCCTAACCCAAGTATGACCCAACCCAAACCACGTGATAGCGGTCATGAGTTGTTTGCTCGTGTCATGTACCTTAATTATAAATTTAATTAAAACTATGCCGATGAGTCTGCTATTCATGTGGGGCAGTGAGAGACTCACTCTCTACCTCGTGGCTTAACGGGAGCTTTAAAAACATCAGAGCATTCCCCTGCGAAATGACTGTCCTTTAATAGTCATGTGCTAGTTGTCACTTCTAATATAAACAAAATTTCTTGGATCAAGAGTGTTCTCAGGCAAACTTCAAGATGTTAACCAAGCAAGATACGTCCCCTTGGGAGCACTATAAATCCCAAAACATGCAAACACACCTGAATATCTAGTTTTTGATAGTCAATGTAGGTATTCTTTCGCTGATATTGGTTCAAGGCTCATCCACCATATCTTATTTTGGCTAACTTACTTAACATAACATTGTGAGGTTTTTCACACGTAGGCTCTCCACGTTCTTTTTCTTGTTTATCGTCTTTGTCGTATGTCCGTCTTTTCCAGTTCCTCGCTTCTTTTAATCATTCACATATTCTAGTAGAGAGATTCAGAAAAAAAGGAAGTATACAAGGATGGATAAACTGACGACTTCTTTAAAAATAAAAAGAGAAAGGAATGAAAACATACAATAAATGAACGAATAAAAGGAAGACGACAAAATGAATCGGGAGGAAAAAAAGAAATAAATCGAGAGTCTAAATTGGGAAAGTAGTGAAACGAAAAGAATCTATTGGAAGAAAAAGAAAAAGGTAAGATTTTTTTTTTTTCAAGGAATGATATATATTGTGAAATAATGAAATACCCTGTTAAGTAACGACGCATTTTGTGGAGTAACGAAGTACTCTATTGAGCGATGAAGTCTCCCGCACATGAAAACTTGTAGGGTTCTAAATATTGTGCAACGACGCATCCCGAACACGATTTACGACCCAACGATAACTTCCAACAACTATTTTTAATCGCTGTATAACGAATTTTTCTGTGTACAAATATTGTGCTTGGAAAACCTTTTGTAACCCTTTCTTATCTGGGTACAATAGACTTTTTTTTTGTATTTGAGAATTTATAGTAGATCATTTTAACTGAACTAAGCCTCGTGATTTTTTTTCTATTTGAACTTTTCCACGTAAAAATTCTTTATATCTCATCCTATTCATTTTATTATCTATATGTGCAAGACTTCATATAATATTGAGACACTAAATTATCCCTCAACCGTCCACTAGAAAATTTTGGCAGGGAAAAAATCAAAATTTAGAGACTGTAAATACATAAAAATTGGTTGGTATGTACATAATTGTCCTTTCAAAAATATTGCTGATTAGAGCTCATCATTTACTAAACATCTGCTAAAATTATATTTTTTAACTAAATAATTGCATAAATTAAATATGAAGAGAGAGAGAGGGCGATAGAGAGAGAGAGAGAGAGAGAGAGAGAGAGAGAGAGAGAGAGAGAGAGAGAGAGAGAGAGAGAGAGAGAGAGAGAGAGAGAGAGAGAGAGAGAGAGAGAGAGAGA